GGTCCCAGCCACCGGAAGCCCCGGGCGGCCACATGGTGGGCGGGAGCCGGCAACCCCCAGCGCGAGGAGGGCTGGTCCTCACGGGCGGCTAAGGGAGCCTGGGATTTTGATGTGAGGGAGGATCTCGGGGCCCGGGTTCAGATCACCCCGCAGGGCCCGTTGCAGGCATATGTTAGCGTTCTCCAACCTCATGGGCCGCTGGAGTTTTTCCTTCTGGTCTCACGTGAAGTGAGGAGGGCAGCCAGGTATAAGTGGCATTTCCGAGTTTGGGAGGCCGGAGAAATGGAGAGACCTGGGGGTGATTGAACAGAAACCCCACTTTTCTCTGCCCGTACATAGGGCCTTAAAGCCATAGGCAGATGAGTTCCCTATGGTGGATCTGCGCTTTTCACTTTGTCACTGTGTTCCGTATTTTGTGTCTCGTGGGGGAAAGAGTTCTCGGTTTTAAGAGTTTCCAAACAGCCTAGTATGGTTTCTACTACTCATTACTACCAACCTTTTAGTTTTACTTTATTGTCATTCACCACTCCTCACTCCTCCACTTTCTACTGACTGTACTGGCCGGGCCTGAAAAGCAGACAGGACCGATGCATCCTGGGAAAAGTGGGAGGGCCCCCGAGGAAAGGCTGGGTTCCTGGGTTCCCTTTGGTAACTGAGATCGAGGTGTTTGGCAGGGGGATCATTTAAGAAACTACTCTCCTCGTTGACTGCATCTGTAAGCGCATGTTGGAGAGGCGGGAATCCCCCAAAGAGGCCTTGTGGTTTTCTTGTACCAGTGTGGCTAGAGGTGGGGGGTAGCAGAGCCGGGTGGGGCCTTGTCCTCTGGTCTCCACCCTCTCCTTCCCATTAGCCCCGCCCTTTTGCTGGCTCATAGCTGCTCACCTAATTATAGCCTTGACTGGCTATGTGTGGGGAAGAGGGGTGGTTGGCAGTGGCAAGTAACACCTGAGTCCTCTCTGTTCCTTGGAAGTAGGCCTTTCCTCATCTCTGAGATTTGGCATCCCAACTCCCTGGAGCCTTCCTTTCCCAAGCCACCACTTCAGCTTTCATTTGGGGAAGATCCAGTTATTCCCCACTTCCATACACACTAGTTCTTCTGTGTATTTGACCTCAGCCAGTATTTAGTCCAGTAACTTTAATTTTATTTTAATGGATAGTGGAACAAAGTGTTGAAATAGAGCAGTGTTTCCAGGGAGGAATGGGATAGATGAGAAGTCCTGTTAACCTCCATCCTTTCTAACCCCAGTTCTCTTTTTGGCTTTAGTTGGAATCCAAGCCAGTTAAAATGGCAGATGATTTGGACTTCGAGACAGGAGATGCAGGGGCCTCAGCCACCTTCCCAATGCAGTGCTCAGCATTACGGAAGAACGGCTTTGTGGTACTCAAAGGACGGCCATGTAAGATCGTGGAGATGTCTACTTCGAAGACTGGCAAGCATGGCCATGCCAAGGTTAGAATTTTACCTCTTAAATTCTTGCTTTTTCTGCACCTCCCACCTCTGTAGGGCTCCTGGCATCAAGTTGTTCAGTGTTGGCTCTCTACCTTCCTTTTCTCAAGTGAGTTCAGTCCTTTTCTTCAGCACTCAGTCTGTGAACCTATTCAGATTATTCATGGGTACTCTTCTGCTCTCATCATTCTGTGATAGTCTTTTCCTTTCTCCATCTTTGTGCCAGTCTCTTCTCTTGTTTTTTTATGCTCTATTCAGTTCTTCATTATTCTTGCCTTCACTTTTCCTGTTTTTTTTTCCCTTGAACTTTTGTAGGTGTTCTTTGTCTCCATCACTTGGCCCACAAATGGCTTCTCAGTGCAGAAGGCAGCATTCCTCTGGAGGGCTCTGGTGTATCTGAGTTTTTTTGTTTTTGTTTTTGTTTTTTTCTTTTGGTGGTACTGGGGTTTGAACCTCATACTTAGGCAGGCACTCTACCATTTAAGGACTCCACCAGTTCTGTACCTGAGTTTTCAAATCACTTTGCTGCTCCCCTCCCCTAAAATTGCTTTCCCTTTGGAATTCTGGTGCAGTCTCAAACTCCTCTACCTTCCCTGCCTTCTTGATGTCTTTGGCCTCTTTGCTTTCTTGGTTTTAATATTCTTGCTAGAGCTTCCTTGTTCCCTCAGACATTCCCTGTGTATTTTCAGAAGTTTAGTCTGGTTCATTTTTGTTGACTTTCTTGTGCTTTTGTTCCCTAGTTTCCTATCTTTTGTTGACTTGGCATAGATTAAAGGTTATCCACTAATGCTTAGATCCTTCTTTGGTTTCCTTATTTCCTAACTGCATAGCTTGATCTATCCCAAGTCATTTTTTCAGTTCTCTTCCTTTCACAATCCTGTTCCTCAGCCTTTTTCCTTATACCTTTTTTGTTTTTTTGGTGATACTGGGGTTTGAACTTGGGCCTCACACTTGCAAGGCAAGCCCTTGTGTTTTGTTTTGTTTTGTTTTTGTACAGGGGCTTGCACTTAGGACCTACACCTTGAGCCACTCCACCAGTTCTTTTTTTGTGAGGTTGTTTGTCTGGGCTGGCTTCAAACCTCGATCCTTCTGATCTCTGCCTCCTGAGTGCCTAGGATTATAGGCATGTACCACCATCGCTCAGCTACACTAGGCCTTTTTTTTTGAAATAGGGTCTCAGGAACTATTGGGATGGCTTTGAACTGTGATCCTCCTGATCTCTGCCTCCTGAGTAGCTAGGATTATAGGTGTGAGCCACCACCCCTTGTCTGTCCTTACCTGTATTATTTTCCAAGTTCTTAGCCCCTTATGTGGTGCCCAGAAAATACTTACCTAGGCTCCTGGCATTTGGTAACTTCCTTCCCTGGGCCCACCCTATCACTTTCTCCTATGCTGTGAACCCCAAACTCAGAAGTGGTCTTTTAACCTCAGGGTTTTTTGTTTGAAGGCTTTTGCGTTTCTTTCCTGAATTGACTGGCTCATTTCCATTTCCCCTAATTGTCACTGTAACAGTGTAAGCTGGCTTCTCCTCAGCCAGCAATATTTCATCTCCTTAGTCATTGGGTTTGATTGGGTCTCTCTTTATGATGCATACACAGGTTCACCTGGTTGGTATTGACATCTTTACTGGGAAGAAATATGAAGATATCTGCCCGTCAACTCATAATATGGATGTTCCAAATATCAAAAGGAATGACTTCCAGGTATGTATGTTTGGATGAAAATGGGTGGTGGTTTATTGGGTGAGGAAGGGATTGCCCCAAAGCTGTGTGTGGGTGGGTGGGTGGGTGGGTGGAGGGCAATGGCAGGAGAGGATATTTGTTAGAATTTGTCACTCCAGTTTGTCCATCAGACCATTAGCCTCATCCTTCCTAGCATACCTTCAACTTTTCTTTCTTTTTTGCCCCCAGCTGATTGGCATCCAGGATGGGTACCTATCACTGCTCCAGGACAGTGGGGAAGTGCGAGAGGACCTTCGTCTGCCTGAGGGAGACCTCGGCAAGGAGATTGAGCAGAAGTACGACTGTGGAGAAGAGATCCTGGTATGGTTGTGTTCCCTCCCACTGGTGTGCTCAGCTTTGCTCCTTGTGCTGCTTCAAATTATGAGTTCAAGCATCTACTGAGTATATCTCTTGCTTCTCCAGATCACGGTGCTGTCTGCCATGACAGAGGAGGCAGCTGTTGCAATCAAGGCCATGGCAAAATAACTGGCTCCCAGGTGAGTATGTATGGTGGAACCCTCACAGTTCTTCTTTAAAGTTTGCATGCCCAGTTGGTTGGTTGGGAGTTTTTTTTGGTAGTAGTAAGTTTGGAGCTACTCCTCCAGCGCTTATTTTGAAGATAGGGTCTTGCTTTTTGCCCAGGCCAACCTGGACTGTGATCTTCTGTCTTACACTTCCTGCTGTTGCTAGAATGCTATAGGCAGAAGGAGAGGATATTTGGCATACCTTCAACTTCCTTTGAGGTGGGGTCTCCAACATTTTTTCCCAGGCTGGCCTAGAACCAAGGTCCTGGCCTCAGCCTCCTATGTAGAATTAGGATCACAAGTGCATGCCACTGAGCCTAGCATGGTAGTTGAGAATGGAGTCTTGCAAGCTTTTTGCTGGGGCTGGCTTTGAACCACGATCCTCTTGATCTCTACCTCCCAAGTAGCTAGGCTTATAGCTGTGAGCCACTCGTGGCATACCCAGTCTCAATTTTTCTTAAGTGTTGCTGGGCTCGTTTTCTGCCCCCAGCCTGGTGCTGTCTTCCTCACCCTTACTGAAGTTACTATCCTATCTTAATATGATTTCTCTCTCTCACCCAGGGTGGCGGTGGTGGCAGCAGTGATCCTTCAGCCTGCAGAGGCCCCCTCCCCCAGCCTGGCCCCGCTCTGGCTGTGCCCTTGGCTGGACTCCTCCTATACAATTTATTTGACGTTTTATTTTGGTTTTACCCACCCCTTCAAACTGTCGGGGAGCCCCTGCCCTTCACCTAGCTCCCTTGGCCAGGAGCGAGGGAGCCATGGCCTTGGAGAAGCTGCCTTCCTCTTCTCTCCTCGCACTACAGCCCTGGTGGGGGAAATGGGGTGGGTGCTGCTTGTAGTTTATTTTTATTTTTTTTTTTTAATTGAATTTGGAATCAGAAAGCTGTGGAATCTGGCAAATGGTCCTTGTGCCCTCTCTGCCACCCCCATTATTCCTGGTCTGGTCCCCTGTTCTCCATAGTCCTTTGCCCCAAGCACCACCCACACAGATTGGGGACCAGCCCCCTCCCCTGCCTGTGTCTCTCCCCAAACCCTTTTAGGTGGAGAGGGAAGAGGAGAGGGGAGGGGCCCTGCCCCCTCCTCAGGCATCTAGGAGGGCCCTGCCCCCATGGGCTTTACCCTTTCCCTCGGGCTCTCTCCCCGACACATTTGTTAAATCAAACCTGAATAAAACTGAAAGTTTAATATGAAGCCCCCAACTCAGTTGCTTATTTGAAATGGGTAGGTTTTTGACTAGCTTAGAAACCAGAAATACACAAGTCTGCCACTGAGTCTGTTAGGACCTACTATCTTGATTGGGGTCTGGCTGTCATCCCTCCACCCTCCAAGCAGTTCCGACAGCTGACTGGGAAGCAAAACAAACAGCAGCCAGAGAGAGTGGTAGGTACATTTTATTGACCTGGGTCACATAGGGCAGACCCTCACCCATGGGGGATGGAGGGATGGACTGAAGATAAAATCTGATGATCACTTGTGGTAGAATCGAGGGTTCTGGCTGTGTTGGATGAAGGGGAGCCGAGGGCCAGGTTGGCTGGTAGTGGCAAAGCCTGGCTGGGTGGTGATGAAAAGGAGGGCTTTGTCACAGTGTGTGGACTTCCACTTCATACCCTTACTGATAAGCACTGATGAAGAGGAAGGGACAACCACACTAGGAGCCAACAGACCCTGTTTCCCTGGTGATGTAGGAATTTTTTTTTATTACCATCCATACCTTTCCTGCTGGTTGCATCTGCACAGGGAGTTGAGGGGAGGCAAGGAGTCCAGGGGCTGGATGCAGAGCCTGGGGGTGCATGGGACGCAGGGAGGACTGCAGAGGACAAAGTTAACCTGAGGCATGCCTGGGGTTCCCCAAGGTCTAGCCCTCCTGACCTCCAAAGGCTTCATACTCACTGAGTCAGAGAAGCCAGTCTGTTGGTTAGCATGTTCCATCTGCTTTTGCAAGGACAGGGCACCCCCAGGCTGTAGAAACCCTAGGTGAGGAGGAAGGGTGTGTGAAATGAGTAGACAATGAGAAAAGGACCCATGGAGCCACGGTTCTTGCCCACGGTGTTATCACCTGTCTGGGTAGGCTGAAAGTGGCCATGCACGGCATAGGGCTGAGGCTGTGGCTGAGAAAGGTACTGCACTGCAGGAAATGCTGAAGGTGCTGAGGAACACAGGCACACCCATCAGAACTTAGCTTTTTTTACTTTTAACTCTTCCCTCTGCACTCCTAAGAAAGCCCCACTCCTTCCCAGCACTCACCTCTGAGCTGCTGACTAGGACTATAGGCTGGCTGTGTGGGCCCATAGTGAGGCGGAGGCTGAGCAGTCCCATAGGCACTACCTGGGCTGCCTTGGAATTGCCCATGTTCTGGGGTCCCTGTGAAAGCAGCTGCTGAGCCCACGTAGTGCCGAGTCTAGGAGGGAGGGTGAAAATTCAACTGCCTGCAGAGTTCTTGAAAAGTAGAAACTTAGGAAGTTGTTATCTCTATGCCCTTCTCCACCTCTATAGTGAGTGTTTGGTATGTTTGCATCCAGACCATTAGTGGCCAGAATGTGAGTAGGTAAGGAAGTAGGGAAAAGCAACTGGAGCTAGACATCTCACCGTAAGCACTTGGGGTCCAAACATCTGTTTGGCTCTGTCTGCTGACATGAGGGTTCCTGGACGATTATGTCCTCCAGGGCTCCCTAAAAAGGAAGAGGGGCTTCATGATGCTGAAATGGAAAACCATAATACTAAGAAAGTCCCTTGTGTCAGGCAGTTTCTTTAGTCCTCACCCTGCATGCTAAGAAGGTGAGTTCCTGTGTGAACTGTCAGGCCCTGCTGGTAGGCCGCTGGGGTCAGAGTGGGAAGGTCGCTGCAATGAAAAGGAGCCAAGTCAAAGTCAGGACCTGCTTTCTGCCATTAAAAGCTGACTCTTGTTACTTGATCCCAGTTCTTCTTTGCCCCCGTTTTTACTGTTCATTCTGATCCGACCTCTGCTCCTTCCGCCTCCGTTTTTCTTCCTCATGCAAAACTTTCTTAAGCTGCAGGAAAAGCTGGTGCTTCTCTTCCTGGAGGGCCAAAAGCTTCTCCTGCAACTTCAGAATCTGAGAGAAGAATCAGAAGAAAATAAAAGACAAGGAGAGTCAAGGGAAGAAGCCAGGGCTGGGAGTGAGCTTACTTGTTCTTTGGTTTCCTCAAGTGACATTCTTTCTTCCATCTCTTTTTTCTTCCTTCTCTCCTGCTCCTCCTTCATCTTCTGTTCCATCATTTTGTCCACCTCTTCCTCCTCTGGAATAATTAGGCAGAATGGGGAAGTGGCAAGGTGGTGAAAATACTATGGATATTAAAGAAACTAAAGACCAAAGCCAGTTTCCCCACTCGGGTGTGCACGGCCATGAAGGCTCGTTGCCAACGCAGCAGTAGGGAGTGAGAGGCTTTATGAGATGCTCTCCAAGGTCCTTCCCAGCGTATGGTTTGGAACTTGGACCAAGTCTCTAACTTCCCACCCTGACGCCACTCCCTCCGTTCCCTAGCCTCGCCAAGCAGGCGCGCTGCCTGACCCGTGGGGTCGGGGGAGGAAAGGGGGCAGCTCTGGGATAGCAGACAGCCACTCTGGATGATGTGTCCGTCCTCCCGCTCTGACCCAGGCTCACCCTGCCGCTTGCGCTCCCGCTCCATCATGATGTGCCGGTGCAGCGCCCTGGCCATGGCGTTGGAAAGCTTGGGACGCTCCAGGAGTGCAGGCATGGTGCTGCCGGAGACGCCTGGGCCTCGGGCGCCTGGCTCGGTCACTGGCTGCCAGACCTGGGATGGGGCCTGCTGGGCAGCGGGCACTCAGGAGGACCGCGGCACACCGAGGCGGAAGCCCGTCTGCGCGGCCCGCTTGCTGCCCTAATCACGTGTGTCTGGCGCCCTCGCCCAGCCCCGCGGGCTGCAGCCCCCGTCCCACAGCGCGGTGTAGGCGAGGGGCTGGGGTGGGGTCTCTGTCTCGGCGCCCCTCCCTACCTGTCTTCTCGTTGCTCTCTCCGCGGCCTCCGGCGCGCCTGGGCTCTCGCGTCACATCCGGTGGTCGGGCCGAATCCTTCCGGAGTCATGATTCCGACCGGCTTTGCGGGTTGGGCGAGAGAGAAAGCCGGAAGCGCGCCAGGACGGGTCCCCGCACGTCCAAACCCCAGGGGGAGTACAGAGGCTTACGGGGCGCCGGGTTCGCCTCCCAGGGGCCATCGGAGCCCTGGGCCGCGCTAGACACAGATGGAGGCAGGCGCTCTGAGAGGGCGTTTATTAGTTCCTTAGAAATCAGAGTCAGTAACAACTGTACAGAGGGCCCGCCCTTCCTTCCCCACTCCCACCCCATGGCCCCGGAAAAAAGCAGCTTCGTGTGGGCACAGGGAGAGACTCCTGGGATTCACAGTAACCAGAAACAAAAACGGAAATAAATTAAGTGATATGGGGAGGGGAGTCGTAGGGAGTCGTGTTCCCCAAGTCAGTGCATGAAGGGGGAACCCAGGGCTTGGAGCTGGGCTCCCCACAGGCTCCCTCCCAGCAAAGGGAGTGTGCTGGGCCCTGGCCGCCTGGCCGTGGAAATGTGCTCCACTTCCCACGTGAATCTGAGAGCCTGCCTACATGTTCCGTGTCTGCCAGGAAAGCACCTGTGCATGCCATAAATCACTGGACTGAGGTGGAGGCAGTCTCTCTCAGAATCCTGGGCCGAGGCCCGGCTGTGCTTGTCTGTGGTGGCGTTTCACCCCTCATTCCACCCGTACCAGCAGGGCATAGAGGAGTGTGGCCCCCTTCTCCTTAGTGACCCACTCAAGTTCCGCTGGGCTGAAGTGTGGGTCGGGAGGTTCTCTGAGGGCAGCAGAAGGAGGGCCAGGGGTGTAGGAGCCAGGGCGCACACACACCTGGAACGCCACCTGAGCCTGGTGCGTCCGCTGGGATTTGGGGTCCCGGAATCTGTCAGACAAGAAGCAGAAATAGGAATGGGAGTGAGACCTCTAACCCCCTGGCTGCTGTTCCTTGCTAACTCCTCCTGCCACACAGCCTTGCTGTTCCTGGGAAATACTTTCACTGAAAGGGACTCAGCTCCAGTTCTCTATAGTGCAGTGCTCTTCCTCTCAAAGCCTGCTCAGCTGACTCCTTCACAACCCACTTCACACATTTGCTCAAATCTCATCTTATGATGCCCACCCTGACACACTAACGTCCACTCCAAGTGCACTGCTTCACTCCACTATCCTTTTGTTTTCACAATGCTGACTTACAACCTTTAAAAATACTAAAGACTTGTTATGTGTAAACATTCTAGAGCGAGAAGACGTGAGTTTCACAAGTGCAAGATTCTGTTTTTCCTTCACTGAGGTAGCAAGTGGCTAATGACCTCAATGACTAAGTGAAGAAAGAGCTCAGGTAGAGGAGCAACCAGCAAGCCAGGGTGGGAAAAGGGGGTGATTGTGGCAAATAAAGAGGACAAGAGCCTCTGGAGTACCCCCCGGGTTGAGCCCCTGTGCTGTTCTTCCTCCCATGTACTCACTGCACTTTGGAGGCCAGGGTCTCGGCCCCAGCATATTGAAGGGAGGGGGAGAGCAACACTGGAGGGGGCTGCTCCTCCCGGGGAGGTGCACAGTTCTCTCCAGGCTCCTCAAATCCCACCCCTGGCTCTCCCTTCAAAGGCCGGCAGCTCAGGATGGAGGCAGTACCTGTGAGGAGACCTGGGTCAGAGCAAATCTCCTAGAACCACCACGCTCAGTCTGCTCCACCCCTGCCCACTTCATGGTACCTGCTCCCAGCTCGCCTCGGTCCAGTACCCTCCGTACAACTGCCACATTGCTTCCATGATATGCCATGTGCCACTTCTTGGTTAGTGTCCCAGCTTCCAAGCGGGGATTCACCCTAGGAGAACAGGACAGACAGGACAAAGGTCACTGGCTTCCTAAGGTCATCCCCTACCCAAGAAGTTCTATCACTTTTTGCAGACACCTCTTGGGACTGTTCTTTCTCAAGAGGGCAAAAAGCAGTAGGGAAAATATGTGACTCTGGCCCATCTGTACCTGAGGTTGAACCTGCACCAGCCAAAGGGCAGGGCATATTCCCGGGGGGGCTCCCCTCGGCGCCTGTGGGCCTCATCTCCTCGAAGTTTCCGGCAAGATTCACAGTAGCATAGGCTACGCTTCGGTGGAGGCATGAAGTAATCCTCTGTGGGACAGTGAGTGATAGGCTTGGTGCTATGAATCCTGCCCTGCTGGCCTCCGGGGCTCTAAGCATGGCTCCAGGAATGAATGATGTATGTTCTGGAGTACTGTGACTCACCAGGAAGCAGCAGCAGTTCTTGGAAGCGGGAGCAAAGAGCATGGTACTCGCAGCTTTTTAGAGGGCTAGCAGCAGGTGGTGGACCCCAGCACACACTTTCCTTGATTCCTGAGGAGCAGAGGGGGGACAGATCAGAGGAGCTAGGGCTGGAAAAACCAAAGTTGGGGCAGGGGGAGGGGAGCAGGTGGTAGTATCCTGGTCCCTTCAGGCTGGCGCACCGTCCACCATGTCAGCTTTCTCCATGTCCCCTTGGGTTCCAGCACTCTTCCCACTGGCAGTCCCTGTGTCAGGGCTCACAATTGTCACCTACAGGGCAGAGAGGTGGTAACCAGAGTTTGATCAGCTCCCAGGGCCTCTGTGGACCACAAACTTCCCAGTCTCCCCACTTCCACTGACACTGACCTGCTCACACTGCCCATAGAGGTCCACAAGCGCATGGCAGGGCTGGGGCACATCTGGCACAGCCACCCCGTGGTCAACCCCATTGACATGGAGATGCAGCCCCCCAGAGTTGTCTAGCCGCAGTCCCAGGATGGTGCCTTCAGGACACGTGTCCAGATTTGGCCCAAACTTCTCACAGATCTGGGAGGAGAGAACTGCTGTTTTCTCGACGTCAGACTCTCCACCAGCAGCCATCCTGCCCTTCACTCTGCTTCGAGTTGCCAGTCACTGGGCTTTTCCTCTACCTGTGCCCACTGCCTGGGCTTTATACCCAATTCAGTAACCTAGAGTTCCCTGTCTTAAGCTCATCTAGACATTGGCAGGAGTACAGGAAGAAGGAGCAGGCCTAAGACTCACCACATAATGACATGCCCTTGCCCACAACTGCTGCTGCCCTTCAGACCTGTGCTTCTAACTTCCTGGACTGTGGGCTCTGTTTCTCCCTCTTGGCCAGTCCCAACCTACTTAGAGGTGTGGCTCTCTCCATGCTCTCTGGCTCCCTCCTCACCTTGAGACCATTGTGGAAGACACTACGGCCCCGCAGCAGCCAGGCTGCACGTTTGAGGGCACAGGCAGAAGCAGGGAAATTGAGCCTCTCAGGTGGGCAGGTGATAACTCCCAGGACGAGGGAAGATGTCCACTGTCGATTCAGGAAGTCTATCCGTACCTGCAGGAGAAGGAACTACTCCATAATCACTGTTTCCTGAGCAAAGGCTACCCACTCAGGAGAACCAGGCTCCTTACCCCAGCCAGACGGTGGCGTAGAACACTGTACTTCCTGAGGTTTGGAGGCACTAGAAACTACAAACTCAGATGTTTTTTCTTTTTTTTTCCCCTGGAGCTGGAGATTAAACCCAAGGCTCACACATGTCAAGCAAGCTCTACCACTGAATTACAACCCCCTCCCTTCTGTCTTTAAGCCATCATTTTTATTTATTTATTTATTTATTTTGTGGTACTAGAACTTGAACTCACCTTGAGCCACTCCACCAGCCCTATTTTTGTGAAGGGTTTTTCAAGATAGGGTCTCATGAACTATTTGCCTGGGCTGGCTTTGAACCACAAGCCTCCTGATCTCTGCCTCCTGAGTAGTTAGGATTACAGGCATGAGCCACAGGTACACAGCTAAGTCATCATCTTACTAGAATCTGTGTAAAAATTCTTGTCCCTATAAGATTCATTCTACTGACTAACTTTACATATCTTTCAGTTTGTAGCAGAAGGTACCCCTCCAGGAGGTCTGGCCCTGGATCACCCTGGAGAGGAGCCCAGCAGAAGGAGGAAGGCACACCTGGACCAGGAGCTGGGGCACCAAGGGCTGGCTGATAACAACGATGCCCTGGTTGTAGCTGGCCACCCTTGTCGCTGTGCAGTTCCCATTGGACAAGAGGATATTCTTCCCATGGTTCTCCAGAAACTCGAGAGCTGTGGGCATAATACCCACTTGGTTTTGGCCCTGGCAAGGAAGAAGAGACTGAGCTGCCTGAGGAGCCTATGGCAGGCCTGACCCAACCCACTGGAATGCACCCAGGGCTCCAACATGAGCCTATGCTGCACCACTGGGGAACCCAAGAAGTCCTGGCCCACCAACTGCCTGTCCCCAAGCCCAGCAGGCCCTGCTGCAGCCTCTTACTCCCAGGCCATGCTCCTCGCCCTCGTCATCCTCCTCGCCCTCACTGCCAGTGTCCGAGCTAGGAGAAGGAGGCTGGGTACTTTCTGGCTCCTCCATCCTCGAGGAACTGACAATGGACACACTGCGTACTGGCCCATACAGATCCAACACAGCCCACACATTCTGGGGACACAAGACCAAGGATGTCAGAGGTCAGCAAAAGAGTTCCACCCAACAACTCATTCTCAGAACCCAAGGAAGCTGATGCCTACCTTGGCAATGCCAGTGGCTGCAGGCCCCATATCCTCTCCATCCACAAGGATATGCATCGTGTCATCTGTCCCCCGACGAATGCCCACGCGGCTCCCCACCTAGGTCCAAGGTAGAATGAGGACAGATGTTCAACCCACTCTCTCTGCCACTCTCACTCCCAACCCCCGGTGCCTTCCAAGTCAGTTGCTTCACCCCCAGCCTCTCTAGGTTCCGGCCATAGTTCATCCTCTGGAGCTTCCCATCACGCCTCACTTCACAGCTGGACACCATCCAGGTGCTCTTAGTCCGGAGCTCTGGCAGGGAAGGAGGCAGTCCTGGGCCACTGCCTGCTCCAGGCCCCATCTCTCCTGGTGCTAGTGTGGTCAGCCCCAGCCGGAGGGAACCTGCCCATTTCTCATCCAGCTCTTCCACTTTCACCTGTGGAAGA